AGATACAGATACAGATACAGATACAGATACAGATACAGATACAGATACAGATACAGATACAGATACAGATACAGATACAGATACAGATACAGATACAGATACAGATACAGATACAGATACAGATACAGATACAGATACAGATACAGATACAGATACAGATACAGATACAGATACAGATACAGATACAGATACAGATACAGATACAGATACAGATACAGATACAGATACAGATACAGATACAGATACAGATACAGATACAGATACAGATACAGATACAGATACAGATACAGATACAGATACAGATACAGATACAGATACAGATACAGATACAGATACAGATACAGATACAGATACAGATACAGATACAGATACAGATACAGATACAGATACAGATACAGATACAGATACAGATACAGATACAGATACAGATACAGATACAGATACAGATACAGATACAGATACAGATACAGATACAGATACAGATACAGATACAGATACAGATACAGATACAGATACAGATACAGATACAGATACAGATACAGATACAGATACAGAGACAGAGACAGACACAGATACAGATACAGATACAGATACTCCAACACTGTCAACGATTTCGACAAACGTGTTGGGTGCGACAGCCGTGACAATACGGAGAAAACTATAAAAAAAACTACAACCGTTCACTGAGTTGGGGCTGTATGTCAATCTGTGTATCTCTGGTTGCTGTTGATGCATCGATTTGAGTTTAATAAATTGAACAGTTTGCAAAAGCAGCTGTCCAATTCGGGCTGGCTTGGCAGTAAATCAAAAACAAGTTACGAAAATTTGTGTCACCTCTGATCAGCAATCGATCGCTGGAAATTGGCGACAACGGCATAGCAATCGTTTACGTACGTGATCATTTTATTGAGCACATTTGACTATTATTAGGGAAATTGCATTCGCTGTTTTCGGTATTTATGGAAACATGATTTATATGTATCGTCGCCCCATCGGCATTGCGCATACGCGCCGTGTTGCGCCCAAATTGGTCAAAATTGCATTTCGATTAAGTCAAGCGAGCTAAGCGATTACGATAAAGATTCTGACATGGACGCAGCCCATTCTCTGAACTTGTCTGACTTATGGATATATTAAATACATGCGATGGGAGCTAAGAGAAACAGATACTTCCATTCATGCTCTAGAGCCGATCAAACAAGTCCGATTGCACAAAAAATGCTAGTTATTATAGAAATACAAATAATTAAAGTCATAATGGTCTCGGCGTCAAAGGCAGTGCATGACAAACGGCTTTTCATTATATAAATACGTCTAATTAAAAATTAGTGCAGTTTTTAATTAGAGAAATACAAAAATGAGACTTCATAACCAGTTGCCAAAAATGGCACAAGAAAAAAAAAAATCAAATCAAAAAGAGAAACAGAAATTAAATAAAATAAAATTGAGCAAAAAAAATGAACTGAATACCGAAATGACGCAAAAAAGGCATAAGCGACAGCAGCAGCAACAACAACAACAACAAAGCAACAGCAGCAACAACAATAGAGAACATAAAGCGTTGACAAAACGCTGAGCGCTGCTGCCATTTATGAAAACCATGTTGACATGCGCCGGGCACAGGCGGCCAAGCATTTAGAGGGGGGAGATGCTGTCAGGGGGACTCGCTTTGGCGGGGGACTTTAAGCTGCAACTTGCAACGAGTATGAAATAATTTCTAACTTGGCCTGCGCTGGCATTTTTGCCACAATTTGCTGCTTTGCCGCCAGTTGCTGTTTTGCACTTTATGGTCATGCGTTGTGCCGACTCGCTCCAAATTCTTGAAGCGGCCAGCTGCTGCTGCTGGCCGAAGCGAGCCACAATTCGTACCGCAACGCAGGCCGAGAGGAACGTGCCATATAAATTGGCTAATCAAACTGATGCTTCGCTCGTTCTGTGCGTGGCAAAGCGACTGATTGTTGTCCCTGTTAAGATTCAATTTGGATATTGCAGCCACGTCCCCTGGGCCAGCGATTCGCGTGAGAATCATTGCGTCACTTTGTAATTGGAGACTTGTCACTTTTATTTACTTTATTTTGTGAGCCTGCCTAGTGGGCTAATAAAGCCAACAGCTGATGAACTCGTATACTCAAACGTTCATTGAAAAAATACACATAACATACAGTAAAGTAATAAAAATATAATTACACAAACTTCTTAACTTATCAAGAAAATCATTTGAAATTTTGAACCTGAATTGAAGTTTACTTTTACGAGTAATTTCTGCATACTGGAGTGGAATGTGGACAAAAATATTGATATCATCTTAAGTTATCGAGATAATCGTAGTTCAGTAGGTCATGTGATATGATATATCCTACTAGATTTTTATTTTTTGACATGAATTTAAATGTAAATAATACTAATGCTATAAGGTCTATTTTAAAATTATAAATAATTAGATTGTAGCAGCTGCCAAATACAATAGATCTTTCCACTACCCTATTGAAATTCCAATTAGAATTTTAGATAAGCGGTGTAAAAGTTGCAAATACTTTTTAAGAAATTGTTTCTGCTTTTCTTGAAACTAATATTCCGATGGGAAATTTAGCGCTTTTTTATTGGGATTATCTGGAGAAGCTTATTATCTGCTAATCTGGTTTGTAGTTTTATTCATTCAACTCAAAAATCTCAGCAATGTCGATAGAATACGTATATAATATTAAATTTAGTATCTAGTTTAGTATTTAGTGTTAATTATTATTAATTTTAAGTATATTAATTCTTATAAAAAATATGCATACATACGAAGTATATATTATACTATTTTGTATATTTTACAGTATCTAATATATAGCTCTATATTTAGTCTATAATGCAGTAATATAGTTCATAGTCTTTATGGTATAGTATAAATTATAATATTTCCGACGAACGACCCAATATGTACTTTTACTTGCTTATATTGCAGTATTTAGTATATTTTGTATTTAAAACTGTATTTAGTACAGCTGTACTATACAGCACTTAGTAAATGGAACAGCTTTAACATATAGTGAAATATTTAGTATCGACTTTAGTTTTAATCTCGTATTATATTATTATAAGGATTAGTACCGAGTATGCCTGACAGTATATAGTCGTTAATATCAGGTTAGTATAGTATTTGATATAGTATAATCAATTTTGCTATACATTAGTATATTTCCACATATGTACTAGAATTTTGTATATATAATATATTGTACTTTGCTTGATTATACCATTTTTAGTATTATTATAATGATTTTTGCATTATGTTGTATCTAGTGAGGAAAATAGTATTTATTAAGTTTCTGTAGCTATTTATTGGAAAACACACACTCATGCTTAAGTAACTTCTTAACATTTCTTTCATATGTAGGTTAGACTCTGCTGTCAGATATAGTATTTGCGCTTGTATAATATGTCAAATGTGGAATAGCTTATCTGCACATTGCCTGCACAGTGTTATACATATGTGTAGTAAGTAGCACTTACACTTGTGTAACCACGCAATTCCATATAAAATTGTTACTACTGGGCATACAAAGTATGACAAGTATGCGTGGTTTCACCTTGCGGCAGTTATCAACACGGTCGAGTTGGTCGAGTTGTCGGGTCAAATAGTCGTCGTTTGGGCACAAATTTATGCATTCAAGTCATAAAAAACAAATCCAAGTGAGCAGATAAGGTTAACGTGTTTTTATAGCTATTTCACATTATAATTTCACATACGCGCGGGTGAGCCGAGCTCAAGAACGTTCGTCATATAAAAATTCAACGACTTTTACAAGAAAAAGCGATAAAATTATGAAAATTTTAACGACTTTGTGCGTGTGCGTACCTTTAAAGAAAACAAGTAGAAATGCTGTGGTCGGGTGTAACCGACAGCTTAATACCCCTTTGTGAGTCTTAAACTGAATGCAATTCTATAATTGGCTTGATAGTGACAGTTATATAGAGATGGATATGGAGCTATATGAGGTAAAGGTTCTACAAAAGCAGATCAGGCTACTGATCTCAATATATAGAAGGAGTCTCAACTCTTTGAAAATCAACCAGGCGAACACTGCACAGAGCCCGTATACTCCTTTCACTCCACGAACGAGTATGAGAGTGAAAAAACCTCAATACATATTTAGCCATGAGCCGCATGCCTCGTATGTGGAGCGCGCTAAATGTACATGTAACTTGTCATAAGCGCAACTTAGTTCCCAGTTGCAGTTGGGCTTGAGCAAGTGGACCTGAACACGTTCCATGTTGTCGCTGCTTGGAGCTGTTGTCAATGATTCCGAGAATAACAGCCCAGCACGCGCGAGGCACTTCGAGCTGCGTTTGTCCGCCGGTCCGTTTGTCATACAAAAAATGACAAGCAGACCTATCGCGCCTTTTGAAGATCATCACGTAGCGTGCAGCCCGAGGGGCTCAGCATTAAAAAGTCGTTGCGTTCACGCAATAGCCAAAATTAAAATGAAATAACATAAATGCAGTAGAGGGGAAAAGTCAACACCTAGACAAGATTCCTTAATCGAATTTGCATTAAGCGATGAGCAGCTAATAATCTGTAAACTAAATTAAAAAGAACTTAAGAGCGCGTTCAACAGAAAAAACACCAACAACCAAAAGAGAAGGCCGACCCAAAAAATAAAAAGGGAGCTTGGGCTGGAAAATATTTCCAGAAAATTAAAGCTAATGAAAGTGCTTAGTTCCAGCAGAGCAAGGACCACCTTACGAAAACACTGAAAGCGATAATTCATGGATGTCTGCAAGGACGGAAGGAAGGAAGGACGCCTTCAGACAGCAACAGCTCCAGCTGCTGCGCCAGCTCCAGCTCCAGCGACTGACGCTGTGAAAAATGTGCCTTGCCTTGCCGGGCTAATGATAATGATAACAAACAGGCCTCAAGTCTTGAAGTCAGAAACTTTTTGACATGCCGCGCCTCGCAGCCGTCGACCCCACCCACCTCCACCTCGCTGCTGCCGCCGCCCACGCGCAGGGTATTCCGTAACTTGGGGTGTATTTGACGCATATTTACATATAATTCATTCATTTGCCCGTTCATCCATTTTGAAAATGTGAATTCTTGCGCATCATCATTGTTTGATTACTCGTGCTTTATTCCTATACATATATATTTCAAACTTTCTTCCTTCCATCCCCATCCACTCGCTTTCACTGCTTATTCGTTTTGTTTCGCCTTTCGCGGGGCTCGGGAGTTACGCAGCGACTTTTCATTTTCATTGAGCTCATTTTTTTGTTCGCTAGAAAATAGCTTGATAAATTGGGGTCGAAATCATTATAAGCGTTACAGTTACTCATAGCCATTAATTTTTTGTAAGATTGCCTTAGAGTATCGCATGAAGTACACCAATATACATACAGCATGCGAATATACCAAAGAGTTTTGAGTCGAATTTTATGCAGGGTTTACCTCGTTAATATTTGCTGTTTCAGTCAAACCTGAATATTGAATTTTAATATTTAATATAAAATTTGGTGATTCTAGGTTCATGGAATGTTCGAATTGGTGAATTGGTAAGTATTTGTTTTTTGCTATTTTATAGTTTTGTAACTAATGAAAATAATTCCCATTGGATTTTCTATCCTAAAATGTGTATATATAATTGTAAATATACGGAAAAGTAAAATAAAAAAAATTGTTTTTCTTTTAAATTTTAAAAACCATAACGATTATAACTTTTTTTTTTTAATTATTAAGAAAAAAGATTTATTAAATCTAATTTATATGACAAATATAATTAATTAAAATTTCGATCAAGATAAGATATATTCAAAAATTAATAATTATAAAAATGTTAAATATTGACAAACTTATTTCCATCAATCAAAAATAAGAAATAAAATACAAAATCCATATAAGAAATATATTTAAAAAAAATAAATTTAGTAATATTATGAATATATGTATTTTGTGTCAGAAATTATAATACAAATAATTATTCATTATTATTTTGCTTAGTAATGTATATTTTTATAAAATTTATTTCTATAAATATATATTTTTTATTATGTATATTTTAATAAATAAATATATTTTAAGTTTATTTTCAATATTTTTATATTCAAAATATTTCAAGAGAAATCGCACCGAAAATCTCGAAAATAATCAACACTTTTATAAAATATATTTATATTTATCTTTATTAAATAACGAAAAAAATACTGAACATAAAATATTGTGAAAACTAAATAATAAGAATAATAAGTAAACTTATTTCTATACATATTTGTTTTTTGGCTTGAAGCTTCAAATATAAATATCAACATGGATATTTCTGCTTAGTCAAGCATTTCGCCAACGTATTATTCTAAAAGTTTTCATATGTATGTAGCTCTACAATGTGTTCACACCCTTCGTAGCCATAGGAAAACAAACAAACAGCCAAATGCGAAACACCCGAGCGAACACCGTCTCTTAGGGTGACTTTGTGCATGGATTACTTTTTAAGTGACCCATTCCCAAACAGCCTGGACCATGCCCGAGGCCGAGGTGGTGTTAAAAGGACAAGTGTTAGGACAAGCCGTTATGAAAATTCAATTTTGTGTCGAACTTATTAAAAGCAGCTTAAAAATCGCAAGCACATTTCAAAGTAGACATTTGGGAATTTCGACAAGTGCAGTTTCCATCAAACACGGTCTTCATCTGGGGGCGGGTTTTCATTTCACTTCTCAGTAGCAAGTTCCAGCCTTATGCTTTATGCCGCAGGGTTTGCCCTAATGGAATAATTTAGGTATTAAGTTAATCAAATAAAAGCGAACAATGCGAGTCGAGCATAATTTTTACAGCTATCACTGATGACATTTTGAATACTTAAATAAAATTTTCGATCATGTGTATACCAAGAAAAGTTTAATGTTGAACTAGAAAGTGAGGTCTAAGGCAGAGAAGTTAAATTTCATTTTAGAAAGGTGTTTCAAATGCCCTTAGTTGAATCCTTTGTAATATTTAAGAAATTTCGGAATAGTATAACTACTCCTATTTCTCTATTATTTGATCAACTTTTCTCAATAATCATTAAATTATTTAAAATTCAATTTAATTTACTTATAATTAACTTTGCCTATTATTAATGCTTAATTAACAAGTATCTAAAATGGGCAGTTGGATATCTCTGTTTTCCGAAAAATGAAAGTCTGTTAAAATGTTCATACAAACAAAGAATCCAGAGAGTGCGTTAGTATAAAAAGAACGGACGTTGAGGGTTAATTCCGCCCTGCCTATTATATGTAGCTCATCTCTTAGCGTTTCATCATTTACTAAACCAGAATTAGTATTAATCTATCGGAAAATCATAATATTACTCGTTTCTTTTTAGTTTCCGAATAATTTTAATCTTTTAATTTCCTTTGAAATAAATAGAGAATCAAATTGACTAATTTAAGTTTCGACTGTTAACGATTTCCTCACGAATATAACTACTTCAATTCATTCATTATTTTCATAAATGTATCTTTCATCATCAATGGTATTTAAATTACAGAAATTATCGTCTTATATAATACTAAACATTAATTTAAAATTTATTCAGTTCTTAAATATTTTCAGTTTTACTCAAACTAGAACTAGTGCTGACTACTTAAAAACATTAGAAAGAGAATGTTTGGGGTTCGTTTTCATTTTTTATAGGTTTACTTTTCTTTAATTAAAGTTAAATAATTTAATTAATGCCATTGAGTTGAGGATCAATTTGGGTTCTAGTTTCAAACTTATTCAGATAAGCAAAAAATATTCCACAAGCTATGTGAAGCTAATTATGAAATCAAAACTTTGACATACCATTAAAGAGCTCTCGCTATTTTTCCATTAATAGAGCTCTCGAATAAAACGGAGATATACTCTTATGCTATAGAAACGACGACAAAAGTAAAAATATTTAAACAGGGTTCATCAAGGCTATTCAGTTGAGCAGGACTGTATATATCTGTATGACTTTTCTACATATTAGTCAAATCTTCTGTTTTCAGTTTTATTACTATCAGCTAAGAGCCTGCATAAAAGTTTAGTCTACTGTCTCTATATACTTTTTATTCAATTTGGATCATTTCAATTCACTTAAAAATAATGTATATATTCCAAAAATATATTCACTCAACCTTCAGTTCATAAGCATTTCAGGAATATTTAAATTTCTACCCCCAAAGAATGGCGACCACGCCTTCTAGCACCCTAAACACTTTGCCAACACTTGCTGGATTATTAAGAGCATACTCCGAGGCGAACAAGTGCATAATATTCCAGTTGCTTTGTTTTATTTGTGACGTTTTTTTGGGGATGTTCCGTTCGGTTCCGTTCCTTTATGGTCGTACAATGTAAACAACAAGACTTTCAAAATTGCATTCATTATATTAATTTAATATGCAAAAAGCAGAAACGAAAAGGGAACGTCACGAGGGTTAACAGACATTTTGACATATTTTCATTTTCATTTTCATTTCTTCACTTACCATAATTTCCCTTTTCATTGTGGAGATTTTAAAACCAGCCTCGAGGGTGGTCCACGGACCCACAAGTGCGCAATTTCAAACGCAGTCGACAGGTTGACTTCTCGCAGGGGTCTGTGGGTAGCAACCCTATGGATGGATGCAGAGCAGAGGGTTGAAATATGTTAGAGAAGATGCCGTGCTTATGATTATGATATTATTTCGAAATTATCCGCTTAGTTTCACGGTGTGGAAGCCAGCCATATGTGCTGACTATTGTAAGCAAACGAAATCATTTCGCTGTTAATAATGATGACATATGATTTTCATTGTCAAATTTGTTCATGTTCCGATTGTTGTTGTTGCTGTTGTTGTTGTTGTTGTTGTTGCTGTTAAGCGAATTAGGCGTTTTACCATTTTATTGAGTTGCGTTGGGCACAAAGTCAACTCGTCCACTTCGTCTGGTTACGACTCCCGGAGGGGGGTTTGTAAACGGGTAAAGTCTAGCCGGTTGCGTTAAATTTGTTGGCACATCATTAGTCATTGACATTAGGGCACGATGGTAAGGTGCATGGGCGTCTATCTACGCATCTGTCCTGAAATTTGTTTTTTTAGCTGAGTCTATTTTGAGAGAACAGTGACAATGCTACTAGGTTTTTGGGTTGAATTGATATTGGTGGGAGGGGGCGGATACATTAATGAGTTTGATTTATTATTACCATATTCAGCATCGATTGATTGGAAAAAAACAAGCATTTAACAAAAGAGTTAAAGTTTTCGGTAGTTCACAAACTGAGGAGAATATATTAGCTTTGGACAATTTTGTCCTACACTCTGAGACTAGAAGCTAAATGAATGTTAGTGACATGTATGTATAGTATTATTGTACAATACGAAGGGTTTAGTATAGTGCGTTAGTTAAGTAAAAGACTACAATTCTAAAATATACTATACATCTTCCTGGACTGGAGCTAAGTGGTTCGTGAGAAACATAGTTCTACATAGGGACCTAGAAGTTACAGCAATTGCAGAACTGATTGATTTAGCCTCGAGAATCCAGAATCTGGATCGTTGGGGATCCAACTGATCTTTAAATAGAATTAGGTTTAAGTAAAAAATACCGGTATTCTAGCCAACTACTTGTTTGGGGTTTTGAGCAAAGTGCGCTGTAGTGCCTTACAAAATAAATAATAGTACAATAGAAACTTGTAAAGGAAAACAATAACAAAAAAATCTTCATGTTCTATTTATATCCTATTTAATATCAAATTCAGAGTGTGGTAAATTATCTGTCATTTAGCTAAGGCCTCCACACAGCTAAAACGGCTTAGATCTCAAGTCTATATATGTAGGTCAGCCCATCCATCGTGCCTTAATTGTGATGAACTTTAATGTATCAAGTATCTCCGAACTATCTTTAGGTTTACTCATTTCAGCTTTTAACAAGAGAGACAGAGATAAACTCTTAGCTCTTTGAGGTGAGGAAAATCTAAATACTAATTTTTAAAACGTGAACATGATCTTGATGATGATCTGATCTATGATTTATGTACGACGAATGTAGGATGTACAGTCATAGAAAAACCAGGTACTTATAGACGAATCGCTTGTATAAAAGAATTCATCAAAAATAAATTAAATATTATATGCACAATAAAACTCGCAGCTGGGCTCATTTATTCAAGGATTTAAAAGTGATTCAATGTAACAGATTTTAATATAAATTAAAATTTTTATAAATAATTTGTAACCCTTAATATAGGTTTACATATATGTATACTCACTGTGACTTTATCTAAATGCTGTAAGCGAATTAAGTCCACATCATCAATCACTTGCCCGGCTCGGAGGCACTCGCAAAATTTTTAATGGCCGCCAATCACGGCGTAGTCGAAAATTACGTTATGTCACACAGTGACCAGAGCCCCCTCGCCCCACTCTCCCACTGTTACACTCTGTTTCATATAGGCCTATGTTTCAGTTTCACCTGCTGTGCAGAAAATTCTATAAATGTGTGTGTATGTGTGTGTGTGTGTGTGTGTAGCACGTGGATAAACGCACAATTCACTGGCTAGGATCAAGCCTTGGCCAGGAGTGGACTCAACGTATGCATGTATATAGGGGTATTGGGGGATTAGGTTTACTGCCGAGCAGTACATGACAATGCGTTCTTGCTGGACACAGACGGCGGAGGCTCTGGCTCTCTAGGCAAATTAATAAATAGACTGCAAAGGAGGAGAAGAAGTGCCAAAAGGAAACCGCTTGACAATAGACATTTACAAATTTCGTGCTATATGTTTCGCTGAGTTTTTGTATCCGCAACTTCCGTGTCCGTGCGGCGTCTTCGTTGCTCGTTGCTCGTGGCTCGTTGCTCGGAAGGAGGGTTATAAAAATAAAACCTGCCTTTTGCCATATGCCATTTAAATGATAAAAGGATTTTAACGTTCCCCACACACACACACACACATACACACACAAACATACAGTTAACAGTTACACGCTGACCACCCCAAAACGGTAAAGCACACGTGGTCAATTGCGTTTGGGGTCAACCCTTTCGCACGAACGCCATCATTCTGCACCGGCCACTGCCGACCGCCCCACGTTTATATTCCGGCCTCGAAGTGTCAGCACATTTTTCAAAAGGAGCATATAAAATGGCAGTCATACATTATGCCCATATCTGCCCGCCGGCCGTTGTCCTCTGTCCTTTGTCCATTTTGCCCATTGTGCCCGCTGTGTCCGCCTCAGGGGGGCGCTGGGACAAATGTGAACGCTTCTTCCCCACATTTTCAGTGTGTGTGTGTGTGTGTGTGTGTGGGAGTGTGTGTGTGTTACCTCGAACAGATTATGCATTAAGCGCTTATTTAGCATTTTTATACCCTGCACCCCATCGAAAATGAAAAATGCAGGCTATATCGCTTAACTCTAAATGTTTGTAACAGGCAATGAATAAGCTGATGTAGAGAAATTCGTATTGTCCGACCGACCGTTTGTCAATCTAGACAGATCTATTCGACAGAGATCTTAGTGACCACAAATACTAGAAGGCATGACAGGTCTGTGAGTCCGTTCCTCGTCTAACTGTCTCAGCGATCTCAGCATCTATAAATACTGGAAAGCCCAAGAGACACGGTTGAGTTGAGTCGAACAGCTGTCTCAGCGATCTCAGCATTTAAGAAGTTAGAGAAACCGAAGAGAAAGGGATGAACTGAATGGAACAAGACCTGCCTGTCCGTCCGTCTGTTCGACATTCTGTCTCTGCGATCTCAGTGCTTACTAAAGCTAGGAATTTTACATTTAAAACATATTGATCTACACAATATAAAAATGGCAGGATCAAACCAAAATTGATGTGGAAGCGCTCTACATGGCTATTCAAGCTAAATCACACACATAAGAGTACATTCGTAAGTTAGTCATAAGGTTAGCTTAATTCTAATATCTAATAAATAAATAAACCTCTTTTTTCTTTGCTTTTTATTTGAAATCTGTCTTATACTAATATGAATAAATAAATCAAGTTTAAAATTATCGATAACATTTATGTTCCCTTGATTCGATTAACATCAAAAGAGAATATTAATTTATTTGAACGGACAAAAATGCTAAAAGGTCTATATTTCAATAAAAACTCATCTAAAGTAAACAGAAAATGTTCAATATACATGCAAATTCAATATATGAAAATTCAAATTTTCTCTTCAGATACCTGATATACTCATACTAAAGTATACCATATAAATTGACTTATTGTTTACATTTTCCGATTCCACTGCAGGGTATTTTCTATTCGTGCCTTGTCGACTCAGACACTCTAACTTGTTCTTGTATAATTTAGCCTCTGCCACTTTGCAGATGGTGTGACTCTGCGCAATCCCATTACATCCCAAGCTCCATAAATGAGTTTAAAAATTCACATTTTCTGCATACACAAAATAGGGTTGCAAACGTGAGAGGCTTATCAAAGAACTCTGACGCTAAATGTAAGCTTTATATATAAAGCAGTTATGTGTATATAGATTAATTGAAAAGACTCCAATAAATTGAAGTATGTTTTATATTGAAAAATAAATTTCAATTGGTTGTTCAATCAATTTGAATCGTCCGAAAGCTGAGACAAAGCACGAAACGAATAATTGCTTTTTGCTAATTAATTTGTTGTTTTGACTCAGTCTTGGCCTGCTTCAGCTGACGAGCATTGTCTTCATTCTGATTTCATTTTTTGTTCCTTTTGCCCCATTAGGGACGGGATTTTATCATGCCTAGGCGCAGGATGTATAATTAAATAAGGCGGACGTAAAAATCGAGGGATGCAAATGGAAGTAAATCCTCGTTTTTTCCCTATTTTAATGAAAATTGCATTTTAATTTCATAAACGACTGCTCGAGAGAGAGAGAGAGACGTTTTAGTAGAGGCTGTAAGCTGGCGAAACTAATTGCGAGCTCTGGCGAGAGGAGTCATTAGAGCAACCGCAGAAAACCTTCATAATTTGGAATGGAATAATTACGAATGCGGCTAAAAATAATTGCCAAGTTGGCTTAAAAGACTCTTAAAGTGAATCACATAGTAAGTGCCGTTATTTGAGCCTGTCTCATGTCCTTTGACAAAACAGAAACCCAAACCCAAACCCAAAAGCCAAAGTAAAAAAAATGGTCATTTCTATTGTTTTTTTTTCTGTTTTTTTTTTTTCGGCTAGCTGTCGCTCACGTAGGCAGCGTCCATGTAATTAAATTAAAATGGAAAAATTTAGTCGAACTGCGGATTAAATTAATTTTCATTTGCATTTGCATAAGTTTTGCCACTCGCCAGTTCGTCTGTTCATTAATTCCTTCATTATGCCATTTATTGCTGAACTTAACTAGAAATCTGCCTCTATTTGTATTCCTTATTCATTAGCTGACCAAACAGAGCTGGGAACAATGAATGCCTTGGGCCGATAATAAAAAACAAGTACAGTGCACTAATTTAATTAAAGGAAGTCCTCAAATATATTTATAGAATTCAAATAGAACTAATAGGAGACAATTATCCTTGCCATAAGTTAATTTCCTTACCCATATTGTTCTGTATACTATCGATCAATTTTATCGAATATCAGGAGTTGATCAAAAAAATAGTTTGAAGGGAAATAATATTTGAAAAATGTATATCGAATTTGATATTCGTATCTCTGCAGTTCCTCTAATTTCTTAGCATAGCCGAAGGGGCTCGCACGCTACAAGAGTAGATTATGCTGGAGAAATGTCTATATATAAAATAGAAATCGGATAACTTTAGATGATTGATCGAAATGTTTTAATTGATTTTCAAGTAATATTGATATATACTATATATTATGTATTATATAGTCTTTAGTTTTATTATCCCAAACTCCAAGTAAGTCAACTTTTTTTTTCATTTGCCAGATACATTGGTATGTATCTTATATGTACTTGGTTCGGCGTTGTCTGAAATTGGAAGTTGTTGTTGCTCGTCACCATGAGATTAGTTAATTATACGGAAATGTGCATATTGTTGGGAACTGAAGGTTTAAAGGTTTACTTTTTTAATTACTTTCAAATGGCAAACAAATACCAGGCAATTTTATTTTGGAACCTTCCTTCCCTTTTCATTTTTGTTAATTTTTTTCTGAAGAAGAAAAGAAATGTTTACAAGCTGGACCCAAATAAGGGAGGAAAAAGGAATGAAAATGCAATTTTATTTATTGTTATGTAGCTGTTTATTTTTTTGTTTTTCTTCCACCGAGCTTATGTAAATTTATTTATTTTGCGTAATTTTTCTTGTTTTTACATAAGAATAAATTTGCCTTGTTTTCCGTTGGCACCCAAAACAATGCCGCCCAAGCTCGATTCTGCGTTGGAGGCCTTTCACGGCCAAAAAAAATTTAATTAGAATAAAAGAAAATGAGAAAAGCGAAGCAGAAACAACAACAAAACTCAAATGAAACGAACAATGAAAAAGCGGATATTACCTTCCAAATGCAGAAGGCGATATGCTCTTCCATCCCAAATTTCAGGCAGACCTGTTCTTACGTTTTATGGTAGCTTTCAAGATATTGAAATACTTCCTATTATCTGGTTTAATGATCAAAGTATTGCCTTATAGAATTATTAAAATATTTAAAATTCAAAAATATTTGAAATGAAATCGATCTCGATCCCGTCTAAAATAAGTACTTTATTAAATATTTTATGGCATTTCTTGGTATGTTCAGTAAATCTCCCTTGAAATTGATCTTATGTAATAAAGATATTCCCAATAATAATTATCATTTCGAAAACAACAAATATCTTTAATAAAAGTATTACAATCTCGAATCGTGTTTTATTTTATTTTATTTTAAGTAAACATGTCCTAATTTTTATTATAGGCAATGAAGATAACTGAGCTAAATAAAACATCTTGATCTCGATATTCCACCTTACCTCTATTAAAATATTTTTAATTTTCTGCGTACAACCTCTTCAATAAATGCTAAATTTTCCAATGAGTCGAAAAATTTCTTTCGAATTATCCTGTTTGGATAAGATACGTCATCAAATAAAGATATTTCAAATGATATTTCTCACGATATCTCTGTCTCTCTCTCGAAATTAAAGAAACAATAAACTATCGAATATTTTTAGTATATACGATATTTTTTAATACTTTCAATGCTGTTTTCTTACATCGTTCACGATTTTATCAAATCATAATTTGGTACAATCTTTTCAAAAGAGAGTATCGTGTGAAATTTCTTTGCATTTGGAATTGTTATGATATATCGAATCAGCATCATTGTTACGAAATATGGAATGGAATATGGAATACAAATTGAAATTCAGACAAATGGAGTAGTTCATATATATTTTGATGTAGAAAAATATATATATATTGTCAAGTCAAAGAGATCTAGATCCAATTGTTACACAAAGCACGCCCGATTCACAAGACCTTTGGCAAGTGTATAATAAGGCGGCTACAACGGGGCTTAACGTGGACCTAGGAATTCTGTTCTGTACATTTTGCGCTCTTTGCAATTTTCATGTGTAACTGACAACTTTCGTTGGCTGCAACATTTTGTAATGAGATCCGTCTCGACTGGTCAAGCTATGTGCTTTGCGACGCCTTCTCCTGCTGCGCGGACAAACAACAACCAAAAAAATAAGTGAAGAAGGGCTCTTTGTTCAATTTCATCTCTGACATGTTAGGAATTTGCTGCTGGGCTCTGCATCGCATGGCAATTAAATTTTAATAACATTTAATAAGAAGTAGCTGTGATAAATTGCATTACAGCCGCTTTCAACAAATGGGGATATATGTGTGTATGTGTGTGTTTGTTTGTGTGTATGTTTGGCCAGTCAGTTTATATGTACTGCGTCTATTCTAGCTTAATTACGCACTTAGTTTATGACTTAATATACCATTCGAAATTCTGCTCCGAACATCCAACAGCAAAAAGCTCACTGAGGCTTGTTCCTCATATGCGTCGCTCAATTATAGAGAGCTTTACGTCGTTATGTCGTTTACGTCGTTTGGCCTCGCATGACGTTAGTTCGAGGGAAATTTAATTACGTCGTATTATGGAATTTATATGACAATGGCAGCTGGCAAGCACACACACACACACGCAAATATACATACATGCACATGTAAATGTTGGTAGTGGTAGTGGGGGAGGGACAGGAGGGGGATTAATTATGATGTGCCTAAGTTGTGCAACGAGTTTTAAATGAAATGCCATAACTTTTGTTGAGGGATTTTAATTTGGAATTTGAAAGTTATATATTAAATAAATTTCTCAGCTTTTACAGTTCAATGCCAATAGACAAAGGTGTAAAGTTATGTGTATATTCTTAGTATTTTTGGTATTTTAATTAAATAGTCTTTAAAAATGAAAAGTAAAAATATTGTTAGACCTAGACCCAAGGGAATCTGTTTTTGTGACAGTAAACTTATATTATGTCTCTTCACAATAGATAGAATATTATTTTTTATTATTTGATTATAGGATATTTATTAAATATGTGAAAAGATTACAATTTTTCCGTTACTCCAGTAAAATAGAATTTATGCTGAAATTACTTTTCACAAGATTCTGAATAAATAGAACAAGGTGTTATATGTATATTTGTGGTATTTATTGGTATTTTAATCTTGAATTTTTGCCATTGACTTCAGACTAGATTCTGAAACCAAAAACTATTTCCTTGTCAATTTTATTAGAATTTTGAGACATGTAAACTTTTATGCATAACTATTTACCTTTCATTTACCTATTTCCAATTAAACTTAATTTTTTCGATTGTTTTTTATTTTCATTTAAAAAAAACGCTCAATTGATGCCACTAGCGTAATGCAAATTTGTTGAATAGAAAAAAGCAGCCAAGGACTGGCCAGCTTAGGACGCAGCGGGAAACATTCCAATCCGGCCATCAAAAGGACATAACAATAATTAATGGCATTTGCTTAGAGAATACATAATGGGAGCTCGGCCACCGTCAGACGACGCAGGTGGCAGAGCGACAGGATTCTATTTTTATTATTTTCCGATTGGCAGTGAATTAATTTACAATCTATTTTTGTTGCTGTTGTTGTTGTTGTTGCTTTTCTTGCTTCTTCTGCTGCTGTTTTAACATTTTGTGTCAGCTGTATTGACACTGGACAAACTTGAATGTCAATAGGATCGCTGCGAAACAATGGACATATAATGGAAATTAACATTAATTTGGAAACAGAAACAAGGAAGCGTCGAGAGAAACATTCATATGCACGGAATTCTCACAAGTGAAATATGTAAATTGTCTTGTAATAAAACTTCCAAGACCAAGAACCAAGACCACGGAGCTGGGACCAAGAGCAAGAACAAGAGCAAGCAGCAAATATAAATTTTATGAAACATTCTCCCGCCCCGGAGGAGCGAAGGAATTAAAACAACGCGACAATGGAAAAAATGTAAAATAAATAAATAAAGCACGAAGGAAATAAAAAGAAAAACAAAAACAAAACAAAATAACACCAAGTGAATGCGACAGAAATGTGCTACAGAAAAAATTATATCCCTGCAGGACATTATTTTAAATACTAATCCGCATCAGTTTTCATTTGAATCTTAGTGTTGGGGCACTCGCTGTCGTGGCGCTCGTCCTGCCGGCAACCCCAGGACATCGACATCACTTCGTTGTTGTCCTTTTATTTTTTTCTTGTGTTTTTTTTATTTTTATTTTATATATTTTGCCCTCATCCACGTCCACATCCACATCCACGTCCACGTCCTGTTCTGCGACGTGCCTGCTGCCATCTTTGTTTGTGCTGCGCTGTTACATAAATTCAGATGTTATCCTAAATGCACACAGCATGCACGTTATTAAAATAAGCGTCAAGCATCGTCGTGCGACGTTCTAGGAAAACTCGTATTACGTCCGAGGAGCAGGAGGAGCCGGAGGAGCCGGAAGTTAACCAATATAATAAAATATCGCTCGTTGCTTAATTTGGACTTTGGACAGAGGACTTTACAACGCAAGGAATTCCACATAGTTATGGAAAGTCTGAATTTGAGGGATTTCAAATGTAGCATACTTTCCGGCGCTCTGGAGTAAAGCAAATATATTAAGTATACACGTCTATTGTAAAATTACATTAGATATGAATTATCTATCTCTTGAGTCTCGCACAATTACTTCAAATAGTTGATTCAAATAATACTTACAATAAATTATAGTATTAAGAGGAATGAAATAAATAGAAATAAATATTGTAAAATTCTAAAATATTGTAAAATGTCATTAAATGCGAATTATTCATCCCTTGAGTCTCGCACAATTATTATAAATTTTAATACCATTCGCAATGAACTGTTATATTAAGAAAAGTAAAATAAAGATATAAATAAATAAATGAATATTGTGAAATCGCATTGGATGAGGTTTACTATCCTCAAGATAGATAAATAATATCGAATAATTATTTAAAGTAATGTTTCCAGAATAGTATATACTTCGAAGAAAAATGGTAAATAAAATCAATATAAATTCTTAAGCAATTGATATTTTTTCAACCAGGAAAAAAAATTGAAATTTTAATTCTTGGTTAGCTTGATTATAAAAACTTCATTTTCATATTATTATTAAATAAGCCTTAATTATTTTTTCATTTGTTTATAAAATTGACTAAATTGTTTCTAAAGAATACTAACTTTAACTTTCAGTGAATGTTGGTTATTATTATAAAGATTTTTATAAATAATAAAATATTATAAAAGTCTTTGTTTTTACTATGAAAGTCTTTTCAAACTATTTTTTACAAAACAAAAGCAGTCAGAAGATAGAAAAGAAGTGGACAAGCACTCAACAAACATTTACTATCTTTAGATACATGTTTGTTTAGTGATTCTCCCAGAACTTGTTTATTTACATCTGTGTATATCTATTTTTTAATCATAGTAGCTCGTGTTTTATTCGAGACATTCGAGACAGGGACAAACAGATTGTTTATGCTGCTGTTGGCCATAGAAGAGGCTTGGCAATGCTTCAATCAGCAATTCGTATTATTAAATATTAATGCCAGAGAGCTCAAGTCGACCTGTCTCGCACTGACCCTTTCGATGTTGGTACAAAAAGGTCAACATGTGTCTGTTTGTGTGTGTGTGTGGGTCATAGTCAGGCATGTATAGAGAGACTGTGAGGCAGTACAGTAATGCCAATTGTACACTGACCGTAGCTGGAATCTTGAACATTTTTCATCATAAAGTTGGGCTGCTGCTGCTGCTGGTTCGGCTTTGATTTCAAATTGGATTTGAATTTGGAATTCGGCTTTCAAGCACATCTCTGCCTGCAGGCGTCTAGCTGGAGCTGGTCAACACATAAATATTTCTCTTTGTTTAGGCCAGGCTGAAATGAAAGAATGAAAGATAGATACATACATGCACATAATGCCAGACCTGTACCTGTATAGCTGCTCCAAAAGAAATGACACCTGACCAGCCCACAACACAGGCAAACAAGCTAGCCACCAGATAGTCAGACAGACGGACAGACGGACAGACATAGGAGGAAGGTTAGAGGCGAGGCTGGGCTAGATATGAGCAACGGTCGAATGGTCAAGTCAAAGTTATTGTCTTGTCATGTAAGTGTTCACTCGATATTCCACACATTCGCAGACCAATTGAATTGCTCGAGCTTTTCCGTTCTCGCTTTTCTCTTTTCCCTTGTGGCCCCTCACCCTGCTGCAGGACACTACAATTTATATATGAGATTTATGCAAAATCTTAGATTGCTTCTGCCCTGGCGGAACATTTTTATTTGAGAAGAGCAAATCTAATCGGGTCACTTAAACACATAAAATTGATTTTAGTATTTTTCCGAATTTCCAAATTTCCGCCCTCAGCTCAAGACAAGTGACGCTGGTTGCTTCTGGTGCCAGTTGAGGTAAGACCCAAAGCGTAAGCCACATCACACGGCTACCACACACATACACACATGTAAATACATCCTTTCTAAATACATTTGTCTGGCCACTCCCAGGACTCACAGCCAAGTTCGTAACTAACTTTTACGCATTCTTTTTGCAAAAGTTCAAAGTCACTTAAGTGAAATTTTTGAGCATCGGACAAGCGGCTAAGGCTCTGAAACATGCATGAGAATAAATTGATTCCCCTCGGTCATTGATAAAGTTTTATGATTTCTTTTTAGTTTTCGCACAAATTGCCTTTTCATACTACAGCACTTTACACCACACTAATAACACGTAAGGTTATCTTCGTTATATTTCTACCCAGAGGCAAATGTTTCAAAGGGTCTATTTTTTTTTTTTTTTTATTCAATTGTATGTATAATATTGATATTGAAAATAATATATTTTGTATTAAATCCCATAATTTCGATACCAAATGTATATGGATAAGAATACTTAGTAGTCTCATGAAAATAATCTGTACCTTTTTCTTCCCTCTTTTTAATTATTTTCATTTTATAAAAATCGCTTCTTATTTAGCTACTCATTCATTTGCTTTCTCTTCTTTGGTCTTTAATAATGAATATTCTTTCTTCTCTATTCTTTAATGTTTAGTTATATTATAGATAAAAATAGATAATAATTATATCTCTATATCTGCCTATTTTATTCGCTATTCACTGTTTTCTATTATCCATTATCTATTTTGTATTTATCCATTCTCTATTCTCTATTCTTCATTATTTATATTCTCCTATAGATATAACACACATTCAGTCTCGTATTTTCTCTATTCTTTTGTCAAACATGTATATTAAAAAATCAATTCTCCCTTCCTGTTTCTCTCTTCTCTTATCTGTCATATTTTTCTCGACTTTCAACTCTCTTCCAATTTCATCTTTGGCCTTATACCTTTCACTTTCTCTCTTGCCTCTTCTTTCTTCCATTGAATCTATTATCTTCCTTGTCTATCCAATCGTTCCATTTTAATTTTTCGAATTCCCTATATTTATATTTCATCTTTCGCCATTTGTGTCTTTTATATCTTTTATACCTCTCATCTCCCTAAACTCTCTTCTGCTTCTTCCATTTTTTCTATTCTATCAATATATTAACCCCTTTCCACTATTCTCACCCAAATAAGAAAATCTCAATTGAACGCAGTGCAGGGTATTTCCAAGTCGGGCACAGCCCCAACAGAACTACTCTTGCTTGTCTTATTAATAATTATGTGACACATCAAAGTCATCATGAAGATAGCAACTGCTCAGTTAAATTTCTACCCACCCCGAACATAATACAAAGAAATGTCCCGGCAATTAAAGCGGAATTTAGATATTTATGCATACAAGACGGAGAGGAAGACGTCGACGTCGACGTCGACACCGAGAAAGACGACAGACGCGCAGGAATCTTCCATTCATTTCAACGCTTTGCATTGTTGCTCATCTATCTGGAGTTGAGCTCCTCCTTGGCTCGTTCGCCTCGCTTTCGCATTCTTATATCTCTTTTTGATGTAATTTTGGCATTTGCCAAAAAATGCCTCCTGGCTGCTTTTAATAGATGTCTATGTCGCGATACGGCTCTCCTGTCAAGTGCCGGGGAAGGGTTCGGCTGGCTGACTGCCGAGCCTTCTGTTTATCAATCTAAAAGGGTTCAAGTGCTAGGCGGCGTCCAAAGGCGCCGGAGCGCAAGCAAGCGATTTTCCAAAATGAGACACGCTTAGGTAAATTAAGAAAATGAATAAACTCGAAGTGAGCAAAATGCTGATGGAGGTACCCGGAAGACATTTATTCCTCCATTCTGAAATCTGAAATTACAATTTTACCATTGCGCACGTTATTATTATTCAACCACAGACGAGTTTTACTAACCAATTTTTCAGAGTGGGCAGAATAAATGAGTGAGCTGTTAGACTTAAAGTCAAATAAGAGACTGGATGTTAAGCAATGAAGGCTTAAGAAATAAATGTTGACTGAGTCAACGAGAAATTTTTAATTATTTTACGTATTTGATATCAGCATATTAATATTAATTTACATTTTTGAGGAAGTATTTTCTTTTTCTAAGATAATAAAATATCTAAAATAAATATAAAAATAAAATAATAATAATATTAATAATTATAATAATAAAATGAATTATTACAATAACATTAATAATAAGACAGACTATTATTATATTTTAGAATGTAATGCTGAAATTATAATTTAAAAAAGAAATATATTTATATTTAAAAGTAATGCATAAATAGTTGACTAATAAGATTATTCAAGTTTTAAAAAGGAAATAAAGAAATACTTAATAAGACACATAATTATTATATTTTAAAATTTCGTGTTAATTAATTCTAATTTATATATCCTTAAAGAAAACTAAAATTTAAGGACTGGCTATATTTGGTGATCAATGTATGTATTCAATTTGGAACCCATATTCTTTTGTACGGAAGTTTTTACCTTGCCTTATTCCTAATAATTTGAATTCCAGAAAATTATCAATTAATTCTTCACTTTAGTTACAAAAACAATATTCCCTGTTAACCCTTTTCAATGAGTAGATAGCTGAGGAAACAAGAGACAAGCTACGTCCGTGTTATCAACTCCATTTTGATTGCCCGGGCTTTTTGCGTATCACATTTCGTAAATAACCACAAAGAAATATGAAATTGTGACCAATGCGAGAGCCGGAAACGAGGGCGAAGGCAATCGTGGTGGGCCCTCGTTACATAAAGTTATGTATATCAATATCCATAACTTTATATAAAGTGTTGGCCCATAACATATATGTACATGTATGTATGTACAAGCTAATACGTTTTTGTGTTTTGTTTTCGGGCAACAAATTACGACCGCACACACGCACACATACACACATATGAGTAAATTGAAGGCCTTTAGTGGCAATGGGTGGGTGGGGAAATCCATAGGAAAAGAAACTTCGTCAGCAGCAAGAGCAGCCCCTTAAATTCAACACAAACACGCATACACACACGCACATATATATATATATACTGTGCGTATGTATGGGGGCGCTTAAATCAACAAAAGAAGAAGGCAATGATAAATGCAACGCGCTTTGGGGGTGAAATTCAACGCTGTGGCAAACGCGACGAGTGCCACCCTAAGCAGCACCCTAACCAAGTCAATGCCACCCAATTATAGCTGTATACATGTATGTGTGCAAGTGTGTGTGGGTGTATGTGGATGTGTGTGTCTCGGATAGAGCTCATTTGAAAATAGATTTCCAGTCGGATTGCGTTTGCTTCTCAATGTCTGCTTGTCCATCTAACGCGTTCGTCCTTTTATTATTATTGTTTCATTTTTTCCTTCTTCAATCTTTCTACCAAATATCCTAGGTGTGAGTGTGTGTGTGACTATATGTAAGGAAACCCATATATAAAAGGCACAAAACAATAACAATAAAAATCATGTATGCTCGCACATGCGTGGATATATGTGTGTACTTGATATACTCTATAAAAGATCCTTATTTTGAGTGCTGTATCTTTAACTTTATCTAGAGTTATTATACATTTGTATGCGTATATGTTCGTTTCTTTTCTGTCTATGTAGCTATACATATAAAATTTAATCAGAAAATATTTATAAGTTTATACAAGAGATGCAAGAGTATGTTATAGTCAATCACTTTACAGGTAGAGACTTGACTAGAGACTAGAGAGAAGAGAGAAGAGCGTAGAGCGAAAGATAAGAAAGACAAGGTAGGAGGGAAGGATCAGAGGAAAATGAATTAAATGGGTATGGAAGAGGGAAAAGAGTAGATGAAAGGGGGGAAGAACAAAAATGGAACAGTAGTAAAGACAGAAGAGGGGAAGGAAAGCTTTATTTTTGTCGCTTATTCTATAATTTAATCTTTAGTATATTATATGATATTAGCATAAAAAGTCTTGCTGACCTGATAATACTCGCACAAGAACTTAAACTTAATTTTTAAAAATTGTTGAGTTGAATTATTTTTACTCAACAACACAATCGATTAATTTTATGGACTAAACATAATACTGGTACACAAAAACTCATAACATATGATATCTCCTATTGCTGTCAGTTTTCTAAATCTAAAATTCTTGCCAAATGTTTCGGAATATATAGGTTTATGTACACATATATATTCTCACATAAATATAATATACACAATATAGACACACACACATATATGCATATGTATGGGTACATGTGTACATAAGATATTCCCCCTCAATATGCGAGACACTTAAGCCATCGCAATTACACAGCAACAAATAATGGATAGTATATGTGTGCTAGCGCCCCCTTGCAAGGGCCAGCGAAATGGTCAGCGCCCAAGTTTATCTATCGATTTTTTGCACATTTACTGCGAATAGAAACACATTAGACAAAATAAACTATATATATGTATATATATGGAGCACTAATCGGGGCTGAAGAGGCAACTGGAAATGCGCCCTTCTGGGACGAAATGGAAGGTAAACCAGCTGAGAGTCAACCTAATGTGGTCCGTCTTGATATGAAATGCGTTAAAACGAAAATTAAGCAACACACAATTAATGGCCAACGGTTTATCATACAATTTTAATGGCCCAAATAAATTGGTCAAAACTAGCCAAGAGCAAAATTGCCAAACGCAATCTCTCACAACTTTCCGAATGACTTTCATTGAAGGGGAGTAAAAATTTATGTTTGAAGTTAGAATTTTAGTATAGTTTGGTCTGAGAATCATTGATTCGTGAACTAATTAAACTGTTCAGACAAGATTATCTGTAAGATAGGATAAAAGATATCAAAGGTATTATGAATTACCCGTAGAGGTATGCAACACATTTTGACAGACATTAAGAAAACCGCATAAAATAACAGAAAGTAGAATTAAGTTTATATTCTACGTATGCTACGACAATATCCATATATTTAAACATATATTGCCAAAGAGCTATTCAGAGTATGACATCATATTTTGCTAGCAACCGCAGACTCAGCTCTGCGAGAAAGAGAGAGAGTATAGTGGGTGGGGTGGAAAGTACATATTTGACCACATTTGGCCCTGGCGTGACACCACCCACAATCCGCTAACATTGTTATAAAAGTGCAAACAAACACATGGCCAGCAGTCGCTGCAGCGGGGGGCGGGGGAAGTGGACGAGCGAAATGACTTGGGACTCACGCTCTGGACTTGGGACTCACGCTTGACTTGGGACTCACGCTCTGCCGCCACGACGCGACGCCCAAAGGACTTGAGACAGAGCATCAGACACATACGAAGAGCAGCAGCAGCAGCTCAATACCAATGCCCCGTTAGGCACACTCGATGCGAGTGCGAGCGAGAGAGAGTGAGAGAGTGGGGAGAGTGGGGAGAGAGCGACGGCGAACACGGCGAAAAAATTATGAAGCTGAAGCACGACGCAGCACGGCAGCGAAAGCGAAGAAGAAGACGAAGAAAACGATGACGATGACGACGGTGATGGCAATGGCAATGGCGTCGCCGACCTGTGGCCGCTGGAAAAAGGAAAAAAAAAAACACGAAACGAAACGAACGAAAGAAGAAGCAGATGAAGGAAAAAATGAGAAACCATGTGGTCCGCTGGCTGGGCAAATAAATAGCTGGACATAAAAACCGAGCGTAAGCGAAACAGAAAATCAGCAAAAAGGGAAGCTAGCCCCCGCCCCTCGCATGATGTACGTGCAACAGAGCGAGAGCCACCGAATGTCGGCAGGAATAAAAAATTGAATGAAATATTTTTATAACCAGGAGAAAAGAAGAGCGAGAGAGAAAGCTCGAGAGATAGAGAACAGAGAGAAAGAGTGAGAGAGTGCGAGCAGAGATATGGAGGGGCAGAAGAATATTGATGGCGTGCAGCAATAGAAGTAAAAAAGGAAAACTTGCTTATCAAATATGAAGGAGCACACACAAAAGCGAATCGCTCGATGTGTGTGTGCATGTGTGTGTGGGGGCATCATAAAAGCCATGAGCTCACCTTGCCGACCGCACCTAAGGGTAGTTAAGTCCAAAGTTTTATGGTCAGCGAACAGGTAGGCGGTCAAAGTGACCCAACTAACCCAACCAAAAACCAACCATTCCAACATGGAACGTCGTCTTCCTTTTTCGTAGTCATAAAACGGTACATTGTATGTGAAAGTGTGTGTGTGTGTGTGTGCGAGAGTGACTCTGAGCTGAGCTATGGGCTATGGGAGGCTGCCTGCACACGTGCGGATAATAAAAAATGTTTTACTTTTCAATCGACCAATAATATGGCGTTCAATGGACAGGCCAAACGTGCGCAGCCCGGACTCGTAACAATGGCTGCCACCAAGCTTACAGACACAATTACAAGCGTATCTGCAGCGCGCACACACACACACATCCACACACTCACACGCATACTTTGTTCAATCATCGTTGCTACTAAAAAAAAAAAGGAAAAAAATTCATTTTGAAAAATGCTAGAACTTCAATAAATTATATTGCTTTGGCCAGAACCAAACCCAAGCGAATCGTAAAAAAATGGAGGTGACCTCAACGTGAGGAGTGGGGCGTGTGGGGGTCCGAGTGCTTCATCCAAGCTGTAGCTCGACTTGCTGGCACCTTCACTATCTCATGGCAACAATACAAAGGAGACGAAGAAGAGAAATAACAGAGCAAAATTCGCATGGCGGACAGGTGAATCGGGTCAGAGACGGCAGCAGCAACAGCAGCAGCACCTAACGGTCAGTCATTCTACCTTCACTCACACACACACACACACATACACACGCTGGGCAGCAGCTATGTGGTAAAAAAAAGCTGAGACTGAGATGTAGCTCTGAGTCTGGGCTTGAGCCGTTGCCGCAGAAGGACGAGAACGAGGACAAGCCAATGGCAAGCTGAAACACGCTGCCCGGTCGATGGTTATTGGTTCGCGTCGCAATAATATAATATACACACAATTGCACATACTCATACACAGACAGACACGCATACATACAGACATTGCCACATACTTATGTAGAATATAAAAATTGAGAATATAAAAAATATCACAGGACAAAAAAAAACTAAGAAAAAAATTTAATGATGCTGGGGTTAAGTATATGTAGAAATACCCTGTGTAAAGTAAACTATGGCTATATCAGATAGATATATGAATATAAATGTATGCCTACATACACACATGCATACATACAAATAGTTCCTCTTTGTATACTCAACATATCTGATAAATGAATATATATTTTAGATATGCACGCATTAATATAGCCTTTTACGAACTTAATGATTACAGGGTATGCGGAGAAAAAAGCTTTGCTGTCAAGTGAGCGTGCAGAAAAGGAAGAAGAAGGAATTGTGCTGCCTGAAGTGAAAATGTGGGTGGGGTGTGAAGGCATGGAGCAGGGGAGGGGGATCAGTGCGATGCAAGAAAAATGGAATGGTGAGTGAAATTTTACTCAACTTTGCTGCAACGAAACGCTTTTTTTTTTTGCCTAGGTTTCATTCTATTCTATTCCATTCGGCGGTTATATAGAATGTTGAAAAAATGAGATGAAGGAGAAATAAGAGAGAAGAAGAGAAAGGTGGAAAGGGATGAGAAAGGGAATAGAAGGTGCATTAACAATTGTCATAATTACAATAGAATATTAATTACGATTTCCACTAGAGACAAAGATGCAAGACTTAAATTTATATATAAATATTATATATAGATGTATTAGATATAAGATTATTGATATTATTGAATTGTTGGGTATATTTATGTCAAACATTAGATCTATGCTTATTTATTATAGCTATTTTCTTAGATCAGTTCCAGCCTTCAAAACTTGGCTTGGGTTTTCTTTTATGATTATGAAGTGGAGAAACGGTATATCGATTTCACTTTTAGAAATAACTTAACTAGAGATCGTTTTCGTTCGACGGACGGACAGATAGAAATATGGATATTGCGCAAACCCAACATTCTCATTTCTATTCGTGAATGAGTATATCGAATCCCGAACAGTTTGTCAGCATAGATATTTCAAACAATATAAATAACACAATAAATATAAATAATAAAGAAAGTAAGCCATGATGGATTCATTACATTAATGTTTATTTTTATACCCTGAACCCATTTTCATTGGGAAATCGAGGTATAATGGTTTTGTTGAAATGTATGCAACAGGCAAAAGTAGGCGTGGCAGACCCCACAAAGTATATGTATTCTTGATCAGTGTGACGAGCTGAGTTGATTTGGCACTGTCCGTCTGACTGTCTGCCGTCTGTCCGTACATGTTTGAACGCGTCGATTTCAGAAGAGACTTCAATTTTTTTTAAATGTCCGTATATACAGCACGGATATCGAGTTTATCACCAAAAATCAATAACTCATCCCGTTATTTTTTATCGATAATCAGATAATCATATTTTTATCGAAAATCAGTTATAAAACTAAATCTCCATAATGCATGTATTCATAATGTTTATTAATTTCGCTTTGCAATCTGCAATAACAAAGGTAACTGCACATTGTTTTCATTTAGACATTTCTCCGGAAAACTCTTCTATAAGCGTGAGAACTCCTTTGGTTTCTTTTAGCCATCTTCAAAGCACACCAATACAGCGCTAAAATATGAAAAGAAAAAAAATAATAATAGTAATAATAATATTGACAAATCGTGAATCTTATAGCTCTTGAATATCACTATAATGGTTTCGTTTTCAAGATAATTACCAAATAGACTAACCACTTGAGAATTATAAGGCTCTAGGGTATAATGAAATGAAGACAGTTTCAGTATTTATACAGTTACTTTAAACAAATCTAGTTTTATGCCAAATCTATAATTATTTTCCAACTGCTTATAAAACTGATTTCAAATATATAATATTCATTGTTATTTAACAAAATCAAAATCTATAGGATTTCTTAGCCATATCATAGTCGCATTGAATGTCCTGCGGGCGTTGGTTGGCATTGTCGTAATATCAGCTGACAACGACAATAAACCCAAATCAGTGACAGATATGCCGAAAAGAAAAAAGCGAAACAGAAAAAATAACTAAATTTATCAATTTCCAGCGAACCCCAAACTGAGTTTGAGCAAATCAGATACTTGATGGCCCAGCGCCCTGACAAGAAGCGCGTCAAAGTTTCCTTTGCCGCAGGCAATAAACAGAAAGAAGAAGAAGAGGGGGAGGTGGAAATGGAACCCGTGTATGTTTCGTGTTTATTTGAAAAATCGCTAAAGGATAACTAAAGGATTCCCCTAAGGGCATTTGGCGAGCACGCGAGTGATTTGTATGCGAATTTACATACGCACGCAGCGAGGTTCCGCCAAAAGGAACTGAAAGAACCCTATTGAAATCGAAATCCCTGGGTGTTTTCCAACTCGTTGAGCAGACCCAAAAGTCGTCATCGCCCTCGAAGATTCCCATGCGTTGCGGTAATAATTTTTGCATACCGAATAGGCAAACGTGGCCAAATTGAATAGACGCAAATAAAAAGCCCCGAAGTGCCGTTGCCACTCAAGGTGCGCTAAGTACTAAATTTAATTTCTAGCTGCGATAGCAAAAACAATTTCATCTCATATGCGAATATGGCCAGAGGAGTAAACCACTATAGAACTTGCTTTTTCTTTTGCTTTTGCTACTGCTTTTCCTTTCTTTATTTTTTATTTTTATTTTTATTTTTTTTTTGTGCGAAAATCAACCTGAATGGAATTGCCGTAGCCAAAAACTAAGAGACACGGCCACACAAATTGCAAAATAAACGAACGCTTTTCAAAACGAAGCGAGCAAGCGTGTAAAAGAAACATTCAACTCTCTCAACCCCGCCCCCAACCACTCATACACCCCTGTACACCCAGCTGTGCATTCAATTCAATCAATCAATAAATGAACAAAAACGCGTATACGCAATGTTGTACCTGGTTGCAGCGCCAAATGTAACAAATGAGCCCCACCCACAGGGCACCCACCCATCCATCCATCCATTCGAAACACTCACACAATCGCCAGCTGGTTGGCACTGCTTTGCAAATACCACAAAATCTATTTCGATTCGCAATCAAAATCGCAACTTCCATTTGCAGCAGGCAGCAGGCAGCAGGAGCCGGGCAGCTGGCAGTAGGCCGCTTTTTGTTCCAGCCTAAAAGGTGGCACTCTCTGTTGTCCATTGTCCGCTGTCCACGGTCCACGGTCCGCTGTCCGTTGTCTGTTGCCCGTTACCCGGTTGCCCAATCGTGACCAACTTGTGCTTGAGTGCTTTCGTTTGTATTTAGTGGTGGACTTAAAAATACAGAAACGTCCGTGCACCCACAAAGGCCGTGGTCGTCAAACCGTCCATTCGTCCGGCCTCTGACGTTCAACGATAAGCCGCAGCCGTGTTCATTTCCACATCCCCATCCGCATCCGCATCCGCGTAAGCGTCCATGTGCTTGCATTCAGCTGCCATGTTTTCCAATTTTCAGCACAGTGCATTCACATACGCATTCGCATTCGCCATCGCCATCGCCATCGCCATCGCAATCGCAATCGCATTCGGATGCGGATGCAGATTCGGCCGAGAGCAACAACAAAGAAAAATACTCGCACGGCTTTCTCCAAATTTAGTCATTGTACGCGAAATTTGCTTATAAACGTTTCCCGGTCGCCTAACCGCACTCAATCTGCCATGAACGGCCATGTCGGCGCTTCACGCACCACCTACACCAGTAGCTACACCACTCCCAGCACCACTGCCCAATCCCCCTCTCGGATTTGGCGGCCCACTCTCTGATTGTGCAGGAGGTGGCATCAAAATATTATTCCACTCTCGCAGGCTTCAAACACATATCCCAACTAAAATTCGCAACTCGTTTCATTGCGTTTACGTTCGATTGAGAGAAAACCAAGACCAACTACAAATTAGCATCGTAATCGACTGCTGTAGACATTCCAATTGAGGTCTATTTAAAATTCATCAGTTGATCTATATTTTTAATTACTTCAATTCGATTACCCAATAAGATGTGGGATCTTTTTCTTAAGACTTAGTCGAGGATAATAATTGAGAATATTATGGTAATCGACTCATTGATAATATAATTGATAGGACTACATTCAAATTTAAAATATTCCGAAAATAATTCAAGTCAATAGATAAGCTTAAGCGTGATTTAGTCTTTAAATTAAAAAAAAAAAAAAAAAAAAAATAAGTGGCAAAACAGCTAAGGATACAAAAGTGAAAGTATATGTACTTTTGATATACCATATGACGTTGTAAAAACTTTTTTTGAGTTTTTAATTCTCTGGCTTCAAAATCTTAGAAGGTACGCCCAGCCAATATATGTATATATTCAAAATTTCACCAGAACCTAAGACATATGAGTATATAGCATATATGTATATCTATATGCTAAGACTTCAAATAATAATGTAAGTTAAGCGCTCCCGTACTAGAGCACTAGTGATTGGGGGACGCTGTGTTGGGTTCTTGTGAATATATAACAACTTCGTGTTCAATGAAATAATATATTTTATATAATTTGGAACAATAGGTCTAAACGCTCTCTAGTCCGAATATAAACTGAACTAAATCTGTTCAACTGGTTAGGTTCTCCCCTTGAATGTCTGACTGGACTCTCCAGCCTCCTTAGATTGTCGAAAGTCTTAACTTGTATCTTGACTTATGTTTATATAGTATATACTATATAATCCAAACCTCAAGCCTCTAATTTCAATAACGATGAAATAGTTTGCATTATAACGGACAAACGTACAGAAGGACGGGCGGAAAAGTGAGCATGAAATGAAAAATGAATATACTCTGAACAAGTATAAAAGAAATTGATTTCATAATAACTTTAATATATGTATATATGTACGTATTATTTTATAAACAGTTTATGATAATTCATAATGTAAATTATTGCATCCCTCAATTTGATTGGAATAAATTACAGCCATAAACATTTTTTGGGAATCAAGCCAAGGGCTCACACAAGTGAATATAAATTTAAAAGTTAGATAATCTACATAAATGACGCTTATTTGACCATGGTTTAGCCCTCTGTAGCAATTGGCGTAGGCTCTGTAGTAGCCAATGCAGCAGTGGAATGAATTAGAACTTTGCTGGGCAGCAGGTGCTTCAGGGGTTCCAGTATCTGAGGCTGCAGCAAGAACGTCAGCTGCTGCTGCTCCAGCTGCAGCAGGCTTATGCCAAGGTGCACCGTTATGGACTGGGGTGGGAAGACACCGTGGATGCAGCGCTGCACATAGGGCACCAGGTCGTAGGCGAAGCAGGAGCAGAGTTTGGCAAACGTCTCGCGCTCGTTGGGCGTAAAGGCTTGCTGCTCCTGGCGGTAGAAGGCGAGCACGCGTTGCGCCACCATTTGCAGCGAGCTCTGCAGGCAACAGGTGACATCGGTGGCAACGGCAAAGGGCGCACACAGGCGCAGCTCATTGAGGGCATTCAGATACCCATTGCACAGCACCGCAAGTGGATAAAAGTCGAGCAATGTCTCGGGCGGCGCATACGATTCCACATCCCGCTCGCTGCCAGACAAGGCAGCCGTATCGAGTTGCTTGCGCGTGTGCAGGCTCACTTTGTTGATCAGCGTGAACTTGTCCAGCTCCTTCTCAAAGTTCTCATTCACTTGCATAATGCTCGACTCGAACTTGTTGCGCACCACGCGCACGAAAATGGGCGCAATCAGTGCTCGAAAATCAGCACCCACACGACTGAAGGACAGGCCGAAATACATGCATTGCCCCAGAACTGTTTCAATCGAGCTGACGCCACGTTCCAGATCCTCCTCAAGTGTTAGCAGGAATGTGTTTATCTAAAACAAGTTTATGTACATTTATAAATATATATTTGTAAAACAAATCAGCTTACCTTATTATGCAGCCAGGCCTCAAAGAGTCTGTTGCCATTGCAGGAGACTCCCTGCAGCTGCTTCAACGGGGTCGACTTGCTGCCGTGCTCCGCCTCCGGAAAGATGGCGCGATATTGCGTTATAATGTTGAATAGATTGATGCGCGTTATTTCGATGGTCTTTGTCAAGTGCTGCTGAGCTATAAGATTATACTTGAATATCTTTATAACGGTCTTTAATTGGTGAATTACTCTAGCGTACCGTCTGCTTTCGGTATGGCCTCCAAGCACGTTGTCAACCAAGCGTCACGCGCCTGCAAAAACTTCAATTTCAACTCGTTGTCGCCAAACGCCTGCATGCGTCGCAAATACCCCACAATTTGCAAGCATTTGGGTAACTGCAGATCCAGGCGCAGCTGGGCCACTAGCTGCGCCAGCATCGTATGCCACAAAGCCTCCACTGAGCGCACAATACTCTGAAAAGAAGAGAACATAGGTTAGAGTGATCTTGTTGGACATATTGGACTAATAGATACGCGGCTCAAGGGAAGCAGAAATGCCTCTCTATTCTTACTAACATTGACAACGGGTATAAGATGACCTTGATGCTGGCCCAAACGCTGGACGTAGCTAGCCAGCTCTAGCGCCTCTTCATAGCGACCTTCGCGAATGCAACGTTCCATTAGCTGCGGCAGCTCGAGTATCTCCAGCAGTTGAGCATTTTTGTGCAGTGTTATGCTGTTGAGGCGCCGCTGCTCGGTCAGTTCAGCTGATTCGGCCAGAAATTCCTCACACTTGGCGCTGAAGGCAGGCAATTTGCCAATCAGGGTATCCACCTGATCTTCGGCCTTTTTAAATTCATTGAATATTGAACGAGAGTTCTCGGCTGTTGTGATGAATGTTTTGTAATTGGATATGGCCAGCTCTTGGGTTCGCTCCAATATGCGCTTCGTCTCGTCGGCCAGCCGCGTTTGCTCCTTCTTCAGTTGTTCCACCTTGCAGGTGCCCAATTTGGCCAAATATTTATCCAGCTCCGGATTGCCACGCAGATTATCTTGAAAATGTGAATAGACCAAGCTATGTGGGGTGTGTGTATTTTGAAAAAGTTTAAATGCTAACCTGGGATTCCATTTGGGAATATTAATTTTAATACTCGTTCATTTTCCAAGTCCATACTTTCTGTAAATTCCATTGTAAATCAAATTGTTTCACTATTTATTTCTATTATTGTGTACAATTTAATATCGATAAGTCACCTCATACAAGAATAGCCGCAAACTATCGATATAATTTTACTTTGCTTTACAAAAGCTAGTCGATATACCATGTCGAGCTAACAGCAAAAGCTAAACGATATATAATTATACCATTTTCTAGACAGCCAATAGCTTTCTGCTATAATACACATATTTAAATTTTTAACGGCGGTTTCGAATTCAATAACAATTTGTGTTTTTATTTCACATAGGCATTCAGTCAGAATAACTAATAACTATTAAATATTATTATTATTCGCCTGCAATGACAGCTCGCGTGTGTGTTCTATGCTGTAAAAATTTCTCTTTAAAGTTTATCGTGCGTCTGCTGCACCATTGATGCATTGGTGAAAGTAGAACATTTATTTGTCTATTTGCTGAAATTTTAAAACATAATCTGTATGTTAGACAGTCTACACCGTCTACGCCGTCCACGCCGTCTATGCCGTCTACTGCGTCTCACTGCATCTCGTAAGTACAACGTCGCAACGATGACGCTAATGAACTGAGTTGTAGTTGCATGGGAAGCAAACCAACCAGTCAGTCGCGCACTTTCATCTCGTCAGAACCAGAATCAGTATTAGCTTTACCTCAGACATTTTGGCGTCGTGCGTCGCCACGTACATATGTATGTATGTAGTAAAGGAGACGTTAATGTTGCTGTAATCGTAAATTATAACCACTCCAGCGCTTAAGTTGCCGAAACACGATAAAACGGATAAGGTCTAATGTAGGCACTATTAAATAGGACTTTCAATACTTTGCGCCGAATATTCTATTTCTTATCTCGTTGCAACACTAAAGAAAAAAATACTTTTTTATATTTGGTTGATTATGCTTTTGAAAGGTGGCTTAGCCGTGTCTTTATTTCTACACTTTCACTTTACTCCAAATATAATGAAGTGTGGGTACACACAAATACACACATTCGCATATACACGCTGAAGGTGCGCGCCTGAGTGTGTGTGTGCGTGAGTGAAGTAAATGTGAAATCATTGTGTGAAGAGAAACATAATTATTAAACTCGACGGTGAGTTACCCTTTATGTTCGCTTATGGGAATCTATTAATAACAAAAGCTAATGATATATATGTAACGATAAGATAAGTCAATAAACGATAGTTAAATAATTTTAATCATTCCTGTGATTTTGTTGCTATCTTAATTAAGATTAGCCAAAGTTGTGCTTTTTCCTGTTAATCTAATTGCCAATCTGTCACTCTCGCTCTCTCCTATCCTCTCTCTTTCTTTATCGCTGTTTCAATCAGTTTTAAGATTAACAAATATAATTTCTAGCCGAACTTTTACTCTAATTTACTCTCTTTCTTTTTCCCTCTCTGTCTCACTCTATCTCTCTCTTAATGCGAATTTCGTGATCCCTCATCGCAATGTTAGCTAATGTAAATCAATATTAAAATATCATATATATAGAATATCATATATAATAGATTATATCTTAGTGTGTATCACATTAATTTACGTTTTACTGAGACACGATAATCGAAGATAGCTCTCGCCGGCGTGCACATTAGATCTGCACGCAACTTGCTTGAATAAAATTATTTTCACTGCAGAGCATGTGAATATCTTAACACAACAAAGAGCATTAATAGTTTTTAGCAGCTGTTAGACCGGCAAGCTTTGTGTTTGATTAGTGACAAACACGCAATGCAACAAGATATAGCAATAACAATATCAACAGCAACTAAAACAACAGAAGCAGAAACAAGCGGCAGCAGCACCAGCACCACCAGCTCCAGCAACAACAAAGTTAAAGGCCACTACTGACCTACTAAGCGGCGTCATCGTCTTCGCTGCTCGGCAAAACTCGGCACCAGCTCCAGCGCCAGCACACCAGCACGAGTACCACCAACACTTGAAAAGAACAGCAACAATAACAGCAAAGCCGGCGTGAGGCGCAGTAGCAATCGCTTGGTCGGTCGGTCGGTCGGTCGGTCGGTCGGTCGTGCCTTCGTTTCGTTTCGGAGTCGACCATCTGTTTATCTTCGGGGTTTGCGCTTTGCTCTCTCGTCGTGTTGTAGCTTTGTCATTGCGTGTGGCTCTTTGTGTGCCTGTGGTTTGTTGTTGTTATTTTGTTGTTTTTCTTTTCATTTTTGCGCTGCTGCTGTCGTTGCTGGTGCTGCGCTCGCTTGTTTTTCAACGTTTGTTGTGTTTTGCTGCGCCCGCCCGACGCTAACGTTTCGAATAATAAATAAGAAAAAGTTTTCCTGCAATCGCAAAAAACAACCATAAAAAGCTGTAAAAATAACAACAATGGTGATCAATGGGACCAGCTGAGTGACACCCTGGAATAGTTAA